AATTCTTTAATGAGATAATGTCTTTTAATTATGTTCCAAAAATACTTGGTATAAAGACAAATATTTTAAAACATTTTATTTTTCAGCGAGGGAAAAGTATTTTATTATTAACAATTAAATACGGAATATAATAATGTAGGTCAGACAAATTTTTTTCTTAAGACCTTCCCAACTATACTTACTTATCTCAACTATACTTACACTATCTGGTATACTATTCAATATATAGTGCTATCAGCGATATTAGCTAAAATATCAGTTGTTTTATTTTAATTTGCTTTTCTTGAATAATTTGGTGATATGGGATTGAATGGTCGTTCTATGACAATCATATACATTGTTACGAAATATACAGGCGCGGTGAGATAACTTCCTCGCAAAGCAGTTTTAGGGTTGCCATAAATGGCAAAAGAAGGCATGGTTGCCACATTTGGCGAGAAATCGCCCATTTGGCGACAAACTTGGCGATATGCCATGGACGGATGGAAAACCTTCTGGAACGATTTCTTACCGGTTTAGTCCAGAAAATTCTCGAACACAAGCCGAAAGCTATATAAACCCTCCTGGTCCGAAGTCAGTATTAGTGTCTCTCATCTAGTTAGTCCGTGTGGAGACGATCGATTTGACAGTCGGCCAGCGAGTACCGAATGGGTCGTCGAGTGCATCAAAGAGTCTCTTAGTGTATCGCGGTTATTGCATCGTTGTGAGAGCGGGCCTCGTCTAACGAGCTGATAGTCCTTTATTGAGCGAATGTCTCGAAGTCTAACGCCGAGTTGGTTGTGGAGTGCATCGAAAGAGTCTCTTCGTGTATCGCGGTTAGTGCATCATTGAGAGAGTGTGTTGAGCTCTCGGAACGACTGAACCGAAGAGTCATGAGCTGTGCTCTGCGTGTCGTCGAGTGCATCGCGAGTTGTAGCGTGGAGAGTCTCAAGAGTACGTGGAGTTCCGAGAACGACCAAGCAGAGTCGGGAGCTGTACTCTGGTGCTTTGCAGCGAAGCTGTCTAGGCCATTATAGCCTGATAGTGTGAAGGCTGTGTCGCTGATTGTGTAAGCGTGTTTATAGTAGTTCTTCCACCACTGTAAAACGTGATTTTGGAGCTGTCTTGATTAATATTAGCTAAATAAAGTGTGTTTCTATGCTTCATCAAGTGTTGTCGTTATTCACTCCAAATCTATGAACCTCGTACGAACGTGAAGGAAGATAATAACGCAAAAACTGGTGTCAGAAAAAAACGCAACAATATATTCATATATTTCTTATATATATATATATATATCTGTATTTCTTCTGTAGTAAAATTCCCTTTTTCTGTTCACTCGTACAATGAAACATTGCAAATCTTTCTCAGGAAACTTAAAAAAAGATCACGAAAGGTGCTTAGTGATAATATTCTAAGTTATAGATTAAACTGAATGGACTAAATGTAAGGAATACTGAATATTTTCTTTAGGAATTATGAGCACGGGTCTAACCAGCAAGAAAGACAATTGCATCTAAAGTCTTGGTTGCAATATAACACCTCGACAAAGGATTTGACTTTAAAAATGAAAAAATGCCATATGAAAAGTATTCTGTATTAGTTACGTATGTACCCTGTTGCATAAGAAAAATCGTTTAGAAATTGAAAAACAGAAAAGCTTCAAATGTTCATAAAATTTATTATTTAGATATGTCATAAAATAAATGCATTTTCATTTAAAAGTATCAGATTAAAAGTTCAAATAAGCCTTGAGTTTACAGATGTAAATTGCTTAATATCATTAACAAACAGATAAATTTTGGAGGTTAAATTAAATATCGCCCGCATTCCTAAAGGGCAACAAACTGGCCCAGAGGGTAAAAGAATTTTTTGTGGCGTGCTGTGGCAGCTCATTGTTTCTAAATTGCCAAGTGTTTTTAGATTAAAACTGAAGGATAAATATATAATGCTTTACTAAAAGGAATCATACTGGCGCGTGGAATTTAGCAGTATTTTATTTAGGAAATGACAACAGGTTGCTTTTAAATCGTTCAGTTTGTGAACCAGAAATTCTTTAAATTTGCTCAAAACCTGAAATAAGCATGAAAACAAATTCGAAGTTCAAAATTCACTCTGCGAGATGCACATACTTAGTATGTGTAGGTATATTAAAAATTCTCTCTCTTTAAGTGTTATTATCTTTATATAATTCCATGCACCAAAATTGTTCCATGCACCAATCTTCATAATGTAATAAGAAGGATGACTGGCTATATCACCTCGCTTAAAGTTACATAGCATACTCTCAGCAAAGCTAAGGATCATATAAGAAAAGCAATTATTTACAAATGCATGTTGTGTTAGTCTCCCTGACATCATATTGGGTTAGTCAGAGTTACTAGACACTCTATGTCAGATTTTTATACAAGTATACAAAGTCTCACAAACGGATCACCCCAGAATTATGCACATAGTTCTAATAATATGAATTTTACAAGTTTGTTACTTTTAGAATATTCATACATCCTTATAAATTTCGCCAGTTTTAAATTATACTAATTCTTTTCTTTAAAATTCTTTTCGATTCTTACGATTGTCACTCAGTGTTTTAATAGTCTATTCGTCCAACTATAGAAAAGACGTATTATGTGATTTTACTGTCTTGCAGCTATAGTTTAGCCGAACTCACGCTTCGCTAAATTTTGCATTTACTTGCTACCTAATTGTTCGGTTGAAACGCCATTCGACGGAACAATCTGAAATTAACTAAAATTTCAGATTGTTCCGTTGAATGGCATTTCCGGGATTGAGTAATAAACATCTACACGGTATTTTATACATTGGTTTGGCACTAAAATCTGACAGAAATAAGTTTTTTAATTTCAAAACTAGCAAATAAGACAAGTTCAATTACAGTTTGAAAAAATTCGGCAACTTTCTCGAAGCATCACGAAATTTTAAATGTCACCTTTTTGAGGAATAGAAAAGTAGTAAAAAGTGTGAATATCCTAATATTTACATTCTCCACCTAATATTTACATAAGAAAATGTGAATTCTAGAATATTCCAGAACTATGCGGAACCATTTAAGGCTCCGCATAGTTCTGGAATAAATCGTTGCAAACTGACTTGTATCGCATTTCTGTGATCATCGTTGATGTCATAAGCTGTTACTTTTTTGGCAATTAAATAATACTAACGTTCCATCCTCATACCTCTTTTTATGATAAAACATGAAAACAATTTTCTTTCTTTTTTCATTTTTTTTTCTTTTTTTTTTTCTTCTTTTTTTTCTTTTTTTCTTTTTTTTTTTTTTGGCAGCGTTTTGCATATATCATCTCTATTCAAGTTCTTCCATTCCTCTTCTCTTTCTTTTAATGATTCTCAAGAACAAGCTATCTACAGTCAAATATTATGTTGAAAAGACGAATTATGATTTACATCCTTCCCTCATATTTTTATTTTATCCTGATCCTCAAAGTGAAAGTATCATTTTACCTGCATTTAAAATTTCCATTTTAACTGCCAAATCATTATAAAGTAAACGTATTTAAAGCAAGGTGCTTTATTCAACGTTAAGTTTCTTTTACAATATATTTTTCCGTGGAATTTTTGATTTACAGAATCATTTTAGAAATAAAAATTGAATTTGGCATTGTTTTTGTTTACAGACAACGTTCTATCGATTATCATTATGACTTGAGTTATTTTGAACGCTTCTGTGCTGATTCCCTTGATGAAACATTTTAAAGGCTCAATTTAACTTTCTGCAGTCAACATAAAGTCGAAATGTACATTCGTATGATAATGTAAGAGCGTCTCGAGAAAATAACAATACTAACGATATTCAAAAATATATATCTTCTGCGTGATATATATTTCATAAACAGCTTACATGATAAGAGTATACGAATGTATTCTTAATAACTGTATTAAATAAGAATCGTGAAAAAGCGTTCGTTAACTTGTTGTTGATAGCTCATTTAGATTGCTATATCTAAAAATTTTCAGTTTTTCGAAAGTGCAGTCTGTTTCAAGATATCTCTGTTTTAGTTACAGTTTCTTTCTGCATATCATATCCATTCTGACGACGCAATGCAAAACGTTTTCGCCCGTACGATTTGTAAAATATACGATTCGATCGCCAGGTATGACTACTCACTTTTTATTTATTCAAATCACTATTCGTTAATTGGCAATAAATAGCAACATTTTAATTTGGCTCTAGCAAATACTCACGATTTTAAAAAATGTAGTTTTGCAACATATTTTGTGCTACACAATGCAATATGTAATCTCCTTTTGAAGACTGCTGGCGTTGCTTTCAAAGCTATTCAAAGTTATCTAAAATGACTATTAAGTGTTTGCTCTTCTTTTATAGTTTCTCATTAAATCGAATTATTGCGATTGTTTTTATTCGTGTCTTCACTAGAGACACATTCCGCACAAACATGAAACACTGAAAATGAATAATGAATCTATGACAATAGCTTAGCCAAAGTAATCCGATACAGGCTTATGCTGATCGCCTATTCATGAACAAACAGTAAGCAGAATATTGTTCTGAACTTTCAGCAATTTCTCATCGCTTGCTGTCACCACCAACAGTAAGATTTATTTTTATAGTGCTGTCAAATGCAAGTCTTCCTTTTTATTTTTCTGCCTCACAAATTCCGCCATAAATTTTCCCGGAAGTCAGTTGCAGTATGACGTCAAAGCAAGCAATTTACTGATTGGCTGGAACGCATCGTATTGCACTTTAATCCTCTCAGTACACACGGAACATCATTAAAAAGAAACTTCGTTAGGAAGAATACATGTACGAAAAAAAATGTTTGGGAAAGTCTGGATTTAAATCCAAGTTTCGAACATTATTTGTTTTCTTTTTAAGAGTTTTTCTATCTTCTGTGTTTTGTTATTTGGGTCTGAATTTCAAATACTTTGCTTTACTGAAGTTTATCTAGGAAAAAGATATCCCAATACCATTAAATTTCTGTGATCTCATTTTCGTTTTTTCTTTTCTTTTCCTGCTTGGACAGAATGAAGATGTACCAATGGTCATCGACGAAACAGAGTTCGACATGATAAGATTCAGTGATGAGCGTGTTCCAGATGATGAAGGGTTTGAAGCGCCTTTGGTATCATCAGATGATTTCGAAGAAGGAGAAGAACTCGTCAACATAGATGATATGGACTTCATCGAAAGAGTTCTTCTGTATTTTAGGGATACAGACGTACTGTTGGGCAATCAGCATGGTAGCGGAGATCATCCCCCTCAATTAGATGAATAAATAAATAATAAATACTTCTCCGATTCTTCCATTATATATACCACTCTCATTCACAAAACGTGATGCGTATTAAATTCAAATTAATGCAGTTGTTACACAGTGGGGTAGCGAGCATAACTGGCTCCTGGGGCAAAATAACTTTTTGGCGCCCCTCCCGAAAAAAACACAATGATATGATAAAATCTTGTTTGGAGACCATTTGATCACACACCCCCTCGCTACGCCACTGTATCTACATAGCTTCAATTTTTTTCCGTGTGACTCCTCACTATTTCAAGTCTTGGACTATTTGAATGGACACTGTTTAAATTTAATTTCACGAACTACAATTTTTTATTTATTTATTTATTTTTTTTGGTCGAGGGTGCGAAAAAATCGATATCTGTATTATGACGATGTATCTAACTCTAGCATTATTTATAAAAATTGTAAATTATAGTTTATTGCATTCTAGTAACACAAATGGAAAATTCGTGATACCTTAATGGAAGAAACTACCCGATTAATGCGGCAAGTTCCATTTCAAAGCATGATTGACGAATTTTTGCGTTGGTAATGTGTGAGTTGCGTTAAAGACTACTATAACACCGAACTGAATTTTGCACGTTTAAGTTTTGAATTCTTCTGCGCTTAAAGCTGTAGCTACGTTAAACGTGCGCGTCATTTCGCACTGTAGTATGGTTGCGAAGTTTAGAGAATTTAATGTTTCTTAGAATTAGTTGGCGGAAGATTTTCCGAAATCTTACAGAGACTCTTTGATTGAGTAATGGAATGCCGTAAATATTTCTCAAAGAAGAAAAAGTGAACTGCCCCTTCCATGTAATGGTCATGATTTCTCAAAAAGAACAGCTCAAAAAAATAATGGCGGAAAAAAATTGCTGTCAGATGGCGGTAGGAAAGTAAGACACCAGCCGTCAAACTGGTGGAGACAATAGAGTAGTGAAGAGTAAATATATCATAAAATTAGTCGACGGATGCGTTTTGCATGTTTCAAGCAAATAATTACTCTTTAGTTGGAACTCATAGTTCTTTGCTCCGCTTAGAAGAGGATTATTAACTGCTTCTCAATCAAACCCACAATCATCATTATATGGTGCCTGTTTACAAATGAAACTTGAGTGATTTGATACAAACTGGTGGTTTTGATTTTGGATTTGACTCGGGCTTAATGTAATTTGCCTATGTAATCCTGCGCACCTCCCTCGGTGTGATATGAGTCCCAGCATGTGCGAGTGCCTGAAACTTCAGAACACCTTTAGTCGGTTACTATAGTAAAGGCCTAAGATCTGGCTAATACGTGAATGAGGGTTTTCTTCTCTTCGCTAAAATATGCTCATAAAATATAGGTCAGCAACAAGTTAGGATACCTTCTTAATCTCCCATTACATCAGTCTAACATTAATAATAAAAATAAACTTCAAGCGTTTTACAGTATGCGTATGGTTATTTACTTTTATTTAGTAATACATTTTACTATCCGAAATTTTATTGCGTTTTAAGCTTTCTTCGTGACGTCATTTTTGTGATGCGCCTTTGCAGAGCAGAAAATATATGACACCGGAAAACGTTTCTGCTGTTATTATTATATTTACAAAAGCTGCTAAACCTGATGATATCTGAAAGTCTGATCTAATGCAAAAAGTATCATTAGTATCATTAGTATGTAATAAGCTCACGGGTGGAAATGCGCAGACATTATTATGCTTTATCACCGCGTTAAATGAAATGATAATTTTGATGTATAGTATACAATTAAATTCTAATTGTTAAATGTACATCACACTTAAATCCTGTAATTAGAACAGCTTACGCGCATTATTTTGATATCAACAATACAAGCTATTGGGTTCCACATTTCCGCTTAATTTAGCTTCGAGAGAACATCGATTCTTTTCGCCTATTCGATTATCTAAATAGAGTTTAGCGATTAAGTAGTAGAGTGAAATATCGAATGATTTATAGCAATTAAAGAAATTATGCTACGAAATAAAGTATGCGCAATATCCCTACACCGATTCTTCAATCAAATCTTTACCTCACAGTGATGTGTTTTTTGTGTAAACACTAGGTAAATAGGAATGCATTTCACCAAATAGTTACGAATGACGAGGATTCATCAAATGTTTAGGAAAAGACAAGCATTATAATCTGCCTCTAGAGGAAAACGTCTTTCACGATTTCAGATTAATTAAAAAATAAAAATGTTTCAAATTTTTTATTGTAACGAGTCAGGAGTTGAATTGATTGCATAATAATGTACGTATTTCCATACATTACAATGGACTCAAAGAGTTTGTTTTTATAAAAAACTATAGAAGAACATGCTTATGTAAAGACATTTTTAGTCTGATGCCATACTTAAATCTGCATCCTATAGTCCTAAGTCTGATGCCACACTTAAGTCTTCATCCTGGACTGGAATGCATACCAAAGGAATTGCGACTACGTATTGATGCTTTGAACGTGAGTTTAGAAGCGATGTTTCTACATGTTAGACTGTTTCTACCATTTTGTATCAAACGAGGTTTAAAGAAAACGTTTGGGTGAGCTTTGAAGTGGCACGTATTTAGTTTCATCCGAGATGTCTTCTACTTTATAGCATTTGTTAATATATCTTGACCAAAAATTTTCTAATCAAAAGTCACATTTTAAGAATCGCAAACTAATAAATTACTTTATGTACTTCAACTTCATTTAGGAGGCTGGTCGCTCTTCCAATTAATATACAATTGAAAGTGCAGTGATAATATTAATCTAGAAATCAAAATGAGACTCTACGTTTATACTGTGCCCTCAAGAGCCTCTCTCGAAGAGGCGGAGGACGACAACAGCCAGCAAATGGATTCAGACCTCAGCAAGATTGTTTCCCTCTGAGCCTACGCTGTAAACGCGTTAATTAAGATAGACAGAAATTTCTTTCACGATATTCCTATCTCTGTCATTCGGAGGGCAGTCCAACGAGGGATGAACCGTAATGGTGCTGTCATGTTTGAATTCGGATTGTGTGTACCGCTAAATGTTACTAATTTACCCCAAGTGCTGCAATTCATTTAATATATATTTCATTTGACACAGTAGCGGTAACGTCCTAGGTTAATGTACGTTTGTGCAACTTTGTTATGCGTCACCCGCAGAGGATTTGTTTATTAGTGAGCTTGTGAGGACTAATGGCGTATTTCATATGCTATTGAGCTTTACTGTTTGAGAGGTCCTATCCAAGGTATTCCAGCATATGGAAGGTGATTTTCTTAAATGATACTGACCCCTGTGAGGTCAATTGTTTTAAGTAGTGATTATAGTCTCCTGTGTTGTTACAATGGCGTGCATTATGATCTTTCAGAAGGCAAATGTTAACCTTTATTTCACATCAACATACGTTATCAACCAATGGTATAAGGTATGATAGCTCATAAGATATGATAAAGATGATATTTTGTTTCTGATTTTTAACCAAAACTAATACTCGAGAATTCTTGGAAAAACATGTTCTTTTATGTCCAGCAGCTTGACCTAGAAATGTAATGGAAACTATTTTTACTTCCCTCGAATTTGGACTCAAACCCAGTGGCACGTTAGCTACCACCCATAATTACCATGATGATAAAACGGCATCTCTCTGTTATAAAAGTCAGTATTACATGCAGAATTACTTTTAATTGTACTATTACTCAGTATTACTTTTAATATGTATTTAGTATTACTTTTAATTGTACTATTTTTTTAATTCTTATTGTTTTGCTCTATCTAGGTAGGCTTCGAAGTACATTGTCACTAATATGCGCCCCCACATGGTTACAATGAAGATTAAAATTCAGAATGTAGATAATACTTTTATTTATACTGTAATGTTATTTAATTCTTACATTTCTGCCAAATTTAAGCTTTTAAGTACCTTGTCGCTGATATCTGCCTCCATAAACTGTTATGGAGATTAAAATGCAATATGTAGATTATACTTTTATTTTTTATGCTATTATTTAATTCTTACATATTTGCTATATGGAAGGAGGCTTTTAAGTACTACCTTGTCAATAATAAATAATATGCGACTCCAAATGGTTACAATAAAGATTAAAAATCCAAAATGTAGATAATACTTTTATTTGTACTGTCATTTAATTCTTATATTTTTGCTATATGCAAATAGGCTTCCACGTACATTGTCGCTGATATCTGCCCCACAAAATTGCAATGAAGATTAAAATTCAGAATGTAGATTATGCTTTTGTTTGTACCATTATTTAATTCTTAAATTTTTAATAAATGCAAGTAGGGAACAAAATCCCGATCACTTAGATGAGCCCTACATGGTTACAATGATGATTAAAATTCAGAATGTAGATAATACTTTTATTTATATTGTTATTTAATTCTCATACTTTTACTAAATGCAAGCAAGGTTCCAAGTAACTTGTCGCTAATATCTGAAATAAAATAATTCAGAAATAATAAAGTGTAAAAGCAATATAAAGAAGTAAGAAATTAATAAACTAACTAGTTGTGCACTCGAGTATATACACAAAAACAGAATATAAGCATTTGAAGCATTAAATCAAGAAAGTTATATTAAAAGTTAAAAATAAATACTAACCATAAAAATTACTGAATAGGAAGAGTATACCCATTTGCTTAGAGACTCAGCAGTATAAAAATCTTTTAAGGAATACTTACGGCAAAGCTTTACATTAAGAATTGAAAAGAAAGAGAAGTTATACCGAGTAATGCCAGCGCCGCAAAAATATTCGCTTGCTGAGAATAAATTTATCTGAGAGAGTGGCTGCCAAAATGGTAGTTAACGTTATTTTTTCCCCTCGTGCCTAGTCTTTTATAATCTAGGTGCTCTGAGACTTCGATCGCATTTTTGAAGAGTTAGCAGCTGCTCTTGAATAATAATTAGAATTTAAAGTGGTGAACGTGTTTATGGAGAAATACCTGGAAGGAAAAATGTTTTATGGCTTCCTGTATTGAGCTCATACTGGCTCTAAAATCAAATGAAGCAATATGGAGAATTTTAT